GCCTAGCTCAGTCAGGCCAGCTTCCATTCGTGGCAGGGCGGACGAAGGCCAGCACCCTGAAACTCGATAACCACATTCTCCACCACTTGCTGGCGAAGTCCTATACTCCAGCAGGGGAAAGTGCCAGCATCATCACCAGGAGAGCCATGTACTTCATCCAGTCCATCCGCCAGGTGGACAATCTTCTCCACTTGGGTTCTGTGGTGGCCAGAACATTTGAGAAGAGTGCTTCAGAAATGAAGATCCTACACTGCACTCCCCTCATCACCCGCCTGGCCGCCTACTTCCAGATATCACTGCAGGGTTGCACAGAGCAGGGGAGCACTAGTGTCTTTGGCGAAGACACGATCAAGAGCATGCACCTTCTGCGAGAGGAGCGCGACATCAAGTGGATCGCGGGGTTCCCTGAACCTCATATCCCAGTGGAGGACCAGCCGGAGGTTCCTAAGGATGAGGCTGCTGAGGATGTCCACCCCGAGGATGTGGACGGTGCTACTGCCCCCCGCCCCACCACCTTCGAGTACGGGGGTAGCAGCTCCGCTTTCCCCGGACAGGACTACTTCACTCATAAGTTGCAGCAGCTGAGTCTCCAGAATCAGCAGCTCCTCGACCATCATCTCCAGTTCCAGCAGCAGTACTCAGCTCACCAGGCCGAGTATCAGACCCGGATTGCTGCTTATGATGAGCGCCTGGACCGTATGGAGACCCAGCAGGCGGTGACCCTGGCTCACATCGAGAGGGAGCAGGCCCGATCTTGGTGTATGCAGGAGGTCCAGCAGCACCTGTTCCAGCTGCTCCCGGGCAAGCAGCCAGTCTGGAAGACTCCCTAGGAGGACTCTCCACTTCCGCCCCCGCCAGATGATGATGATGATGCCTTCATGAACGACATCGATCTGGACAACCTTGATGACGAGTAGGCTGTACTCGTCGCTCCTCTGTGTGTGTTTTTATATTAGACTTTTCGTGTTTGCTCCATGTGTGTGTGGAGCTTGAACTTAGTCTGTCGTTTGTTTTTGTTTTTTCTTTTCTTTTGTGGATTGTCTATTTTGTGGCCATCTGGGCTGACTTTGATCCCTAATGCACAGTGTGCTAGTCTGTTCTTCATGTTCCCTTCGTGCAGAACCGTTCCGTCGTACCATATGTTTCCCGCTGCTAGTCCACTTCCAGTCTCATGCAGTCTGTGCACACCGGTAACATCATTCCCCTTACCCTTCCCTCTTCTCCATTGAGGGCAATGTCGAACTTAAGTGTGGTGGGGGGGGGGGGATGTTTCTCTTTTGACTGCATTAGATCTGTTTGTGTGCTTGGAGCCTAATCCACTGTCCAAATTTTTAAATTAGAGGGCTCCAAGTACGTGTTTCCATGCAAATTGTCTGCTCAGTATGCTTTGAATTGATAGTCTCTATAGTAATGTGCAACCTAGGGAGGTAGTGTAGCACTATGGAGGATGTTGAAGTATAAGATTTTTCATATCTAGCTCTCTGCTGTGTCAATTGATTTTGTGAATTAGTGGAGCTAAGATCGTTGAATTCATGTGGTAATGTGGACTCTGTTTGAATTGTGTTATGGACTCGTGTACCGAACAGGGTGCTCATGTGGCAAATGAAAAGAAGTTGGTCCTCCATGTCGGAATCATTGAAATCTTAAAACATGGGGTAAGCCCAACGTGTGCTGCACCGTTCATTGCACAAAATCGGGTTTTGGAGGAGATTTTAGTGATCCTTAGTGGGGTACTCCTATAAGGTGAAGCTAAGCTGTCTCTAGTACAAGTAAAACTTCCACCCGTTGGACGGTTTGCCTACTTGAGGATGTGTGTTTTAAGGGCACGGATAGAGCTTCCGACTCCCCCTTAATTTCATTGACCCTCCACACGAGTTGAGGAAAAGGAGTTAAAAGAAGTACTCTGGCGAGTGCCAGGTGTGCAGGAATTGCTCTTGCTCGACTAATAAGGGTCGACCGTGCAAAAGACTGCAGTTGGAACCCCTGCTAAGTGAAAGAAGAAAAAACAAGAAAAATGTGAATGAAAGTGCAACAAGGGGTTCCAACGGTGAAATGAAGTGAAAGAGCACCCCGGTACAACGAGTCCTTGGTTGTGAATGTTGTGAGTCCCTTTGTCCATGAACTGACTGTCTTACTTCTACTTCTTCTCATGATCCTGGCTTGAGTCTAGTACTCTCATTGAGAGAGACAGGGGACGTCTTAGAAGACCAGTTGACCTCGTAAGCTGCTTTATGATCTAGGAAATCCTCTACCGACGATCGGGGTTGTTTGTTGCTATAGAGGTATAGAGAGCTGCATTGGTTTGAGTTAGATTTGCTTGGGGACAAGCAAACGGTTAAGTGTGGGGGAGTTTGATAGACCATTTATTACACATGTTTTTACCCCTATTCTTGAGCCGTTTGAGATGTCGATTCCCGCGTTTTAGGCCGATTTCACGCTAGGTTGTTTTTGTCTGTGATATTTCAGGTCCTAGCACGTGAATGAAGGCTTGGGAACGAGTTCGGGGACGATTGGACGAAGATCGGACGTTTGGCGAGGAGCTAATGGAGTCACACGGGCACGCCTAAAGCCTACACAGCCGTGTGACCTGGCCGTGTGGCACTAAATTGCACGGGCAAAGTCACACGGGCCGTGTAGAGGACCCCTTGTGGCCGTGTGTAGGCTCGGTAAATCTCACACGGGCATCCTGGAACTCCACACGGCCGTGTGGGTCGTGGTCGTGTAAGAAGCCTGAGTCACTTATCAAAACACCGCTGTTTGCACAACTCACACGGGCAGCTGGGGATGTCACACGGCCGTGTGAGTCGGGATTTTCTGGGTTTTAACCCAATTTTCAGCAAAGGAGAAGGGGTTCCGAGTTTTAGAGAAAGAAAGTGATTCCGAGAGAGAGAGCGACGAACCAGAGCTCCCAAGTGCCCTAGCTTGATCTTCATCACCATTGGAGCTCAGCTCACACTTGGAGAAGTGCTGATTGACGACCAGGAGCAGATTCTCATCCTTCACAGCATGATTTCTGCATCTGAGCTTGCTTTTGCTGCTCTCTCCTTGGAGTAACTTCCTCATTCATCTGGGTACGGAGAACCCTAGATTTGTATGTTAGGTCTGATTGTATGAACCCAAGTACAGACTCTTTGATATGATTTTGTTCAATTGAGGTTTGAATTGTTGAATGGCATGAATCCTGATCAAATTCCTGTTGTTTCTGCTTTGACCTAGAATGAGAATATCTGCCTAGGTTGATAGAGCATCCTTGATTGAAGGTAGTGAGTTGACAACTTTAGTCGAGGAGTCAATTCACTATTCTATACCGGATTTACTCCGGTAGTGGAGGTTTGGTTCGTTAGGGCCTCAATCTGTTTACTCCAGTGGAGGCTAGTCGCCTGCTGGGGACTCAGATTGAGAGGGTCTGTAGACCTTTAGCCGAGACTTCAGACTGTTTAAGAACCTCCCGCGGTATAACTATCATTGAAACTGAACTTTGTAAATTGCAATCTGGCTTAACTGCAGTCTAGGGGGAACCATATCCGGGTGACCTCTCCTGACTTGAAAACAACCTCTTTGTTTGCTTTGTTTGTTTGTTAGTTTGGACCTGCACTAAAGTTTCACCGCTGAATAATAAGAATTCGCTGAGTAGTCATCACATCTAGGACTCGGGTTGACATTAAAACCCAAACACGCTATACTACGCTTTAGGAAGTGGTTACACTTGGCCATTTTCTAGAGTGACAGTAAGAGTGAGTCACTCCTGTTCACGGTCTTAGTGACCGTGAACACGTCTTGCGTCAGTAACTTGCATTTTGGCTCTGGATGCCTCAAGGTTCACGGCCAATGGCTCTTCTTCAGGGTCATGTAAGACCGTGAACAGCCCAAGAATACCGCGATCTCGCCCTTTTTCACCTCTTCTCCTGGTTTTCGATCCTTTTCGTCCAACTTTCGACTTCGAGGCTTGTTTCACCTATAAAATCCTGAAACACACTAAAACACGAGAAACCTAGCGTAAAACCAACCTTTTAGGAGCTAAGTTGCAACAAACGACTAAGGAAAACGGGGGCAAAACATGTACATTTAGGCCCGAATCAATGCTCGAACCCAAACCATTGACGTATGAAAGATTCAGTTGTCCAAACTCCCCGATTGTGGGAAATCAGGGAGTTTGGTTAGGGAACTACAACCAGAAAGGTCTAGACATTTCAGTTTGTTGGCCATCTGGGTGACATAACATACCCAAAATAAATACTCATTTTTTGATAGAATATAGGTAGCTAAAATCCAAATGAAAAAAAAATCATCTGCCTATCTAAGTATCATCTAGAAATATATAGCATGTCAATTCTCTCCCTGCCTTTCAACATGCTTGAGCTTGCAACATGTCATCCAATACTCATAATTTCTCTTGTTGTATTATGGAACTATTCCATTTCTTATAGACCTTCCATCTTTCGAACGAATAAAAACATTCACACACTCATAAAAATATCGTGTATAAAGCATTTTAGCTAACGATGTTATTTTTTAAATCCATTACCTTGTGAACAAGGATTTAGTCTAACGGTTCTACTGCTAGTTTTCAACCTAGCTAGATGTCTGAGGTTTAAATATCTTAAGTAACATCTAACAAAAAAAAAATAATTGATTTCACCCTTCTGAAACTTACATTTTCTTGTGAAGAACTATAAAAAACGACATATGGTATTGGGATATATATTATTTATGCACATATTGTAGGAATAATAAGAATCAAGAATGAAGTATAACATTATAAGCAAACCTTCATTTCGCTCCAACCTCCCCAGTCAATCTCTAAGGATCTCGAGTTATGTAGATAAAAAATCACTAGATTTCTCATGTGAAAATTGGTCAAATGATTATGCAAGCAAAGCCATCGTATATTTGGAAGAATGTTGCTGAAATCTACATGGAATGCAACGCCCTCCGCCTTGAAATATCTTTACTTTTGTAAATTCAGAAAATACTCGCATGTAAATTTCCCGTATTAATATTCATCCTCCACACTCAGCCCTTTCACTTTTTCTGATCCCTGAGTATAAGAGAATCAAAATTTTATATGTTTCACAAGTTAGTGGACTCGGAAGCCAAAATGAAAAGAAAAACATTATTTTATCAAAATTAACGATACGCACTTTCTTGTTTGGTAATAGATCCAGAGCTTCCTTCTCGTCCCATATACGGCTTTTCATCCATGGTTGTTCGATATTTTCCTCACGAACGATTGCTCCCCCCCATATCTCTAGTTGATCATCCATTTGAAACTTATCGTCATCCCCAATTTTAATTAGGGACCTCTGAAATAGGGGAGTAATATTTTTCCCGGGATGGAGTCCAGGATCACTCCACATGTAAGAATCTACTTCCTTTGTCACACCAATGTAGAAACAAGCAACATCTAGGAAGACTTGATGAGCCTCATTCTCCAACGGTTCATAACTCGTCTTCAAGGTTTGTATGATTTCTTCATGAGGTATTTTTTCTAATTGTGCCAGTTTATACTCCCATAGTGGTTTTCCTTCCTTCAACAAGCTGGAACCTACAACCTTAAGAACTAATGAGACTCCTCCTTTTAAAAAAAAAAAAAAATTGGCTAAAGTTTCAAAACCCGATTGTGGAGTATTCCCTTCAAACGTGTGCTTACAGAAAAGTTGAAATGAGAGTTGTTGATTCATCAGTCCAACTTCGTACAATTCACAACGGTTTTCATTAAAAGACGTCAAATTTTTGGTGTTTCTAAAAGTAAGGATAAATCTACTTACAGGATCAAATGTCTTGAGGTCTCCCATAACTTCTTTGATGTTAAACGTGATATGATCCAAATTGGCCACTTATTCACGTCACAATTACTTGACAAAGAAGCTATCAAAGTTGGGAAGAAGAAATGCAGAATTTGGCTAAGTCAAAATCCGTGTTCAGGGTACATACTTTGGAGGCATGGTTCTCTCAATTGGCTTGGTGGAAATTCAAGTTTAAGGGTTTGTTTTACATATAAAGTTACCATGTTTCCAATGGTATGCTTTGTTGATCCAGATAATGTCATTAAGGTTGTTTTCCAAGGCCTCAAAGTTGCTACCTCAAAACTGAAAACTGCCAGAAAATGACTAAGGCAGAAAACTGTTCTGTGAAGCCTACTTTGGAGCTCAATTCAAGGAGCATGGATGGGATTCAAGTCAAAAGGCTTCCACAACATGAAACTAGGTATGTTTGTGAACAAAGGGAAGGAATTGGATGAAGAATTGGAGTTCGGGAAGGCCTTCAACAAAAGGCGCGAAGTTAGTACGAAAGCTGCCTTTTGACTGTTTTCCGGGCAGCTTACTTGTGCTTGAAGAAAGAGAGTTTAAATCCGAATTTTGTGTCCTTTTTAGTGTAGAATTTTACCTTAATTGTTTCCTAGTTCTATTAGGTTTGTATTAGGTTTTATTGGCTATAAATAGCCTTCTATTTCATTGTAAAAAGGGAAGACTTTGTTGAATAGAAATCGAAACCGTTTGGTTTGTGCAAGTTGCGACTTGTTTTGGGTTTGGTGGATTCCAAACTTGCTGAGCTTGTGTATCGATTGAATAGTCACTTCAATCGTGGTCGAGCAACTACCCTTTTATACCAATCGAGCTATCCCCAGGTGTGGATTTGTCCTTTTGGTTCCGTTTTATCCCAAGTTCGTATTAAGAGCGCTTCGTTCTTGATTCGAGCTCAATCGATTCTTCGATTGAGTCATTAGCTGTGTTACTTTGATAAACATACACCACCAGGGGCGTATTAAGTGGTATCAGATTCTGGTTTCAAATCAGTGGACAAGAGAAGAAAACGTGTTGTTTCCATATAGCAGAAGTCGAGTTCCAAAACAGGGCAGCCCCTGTTTGTGCTTTATAGCTGCTGTTTGTACTTGAAAATCGAGTGAAATTTAGCTCTACGCAAAGGAGATGGTGGAGAGCAGTTCCAAGGCCCAACAACCTCGATTTTGTTGCAAAGAAAAGCCTCCAGCAGTCGTCATCAAGCATAGAGAGTCCGACGAACAGCGTGATAATCTATTTCACAGCCGATGCTTTGTAGAAGGCAAATTAATTTCGTTCGTTATCAATGGAGGCTGCTGTGCGAACATCATCAACCTAGACGTCGTCAAAAAGCTCGGATTGCCGACGCAAAGGCACCCTGAGCCTTACCAACTCAGTTGGATCAATGAGCATGGGACGATCAATGTGACAAAGCAAGCGGTAGTTCGTTTTCAACTCGGCAGCTACGAAGACGAGGTAATTTGTGATGTTGTTCCGATGAATTGTGTTCACATGATGCTGGGAAGACCGTGGCAATTTGATCGCGAAGTTTCTCATGATTGTCGAACCAATCGGTACAAATTGAAACATAATGGTAGGAAGATAGCGCTGAAACCTCTATCTCCGGATGAAGTTTACGGCGATTTAAAGCAGATGGAGGAGAATCGAGACATGGGAAAGGAATTAAAGGCTCAGTTTTGGGTTCAAAGACGAATTGGGTTCAGTTTTTTGAGTTTTCGAAAGCTTCCCAAGGAGGTTCCAGAACTGCCAACGACAGCTTGCAATGAGCTCTGTTTTTCGCCGCAAAAACAGAGAGTCGACAGAAGCAGTTCTTCGGACAACGAACACGCAAAGCCAGCGCAGAACGACGGAGAAGAGTAAGTTACCAGCTTTGAGGGCAAAGCTTTTTGAAGAGGGGGAGCCTGATATGATCCAAATTGGCCACTTATTCACGTCACAATTACTTGACAAAGAAGCTATCAAAGTTGGGAAGAAGAAAGGCAGAATTTGGCTAAGTCAAAATCCTTGTTCAGGGTACATACTTTGGAGGCATGGTTCTCTCAATTGGCTTGGTGGAAATTCAAGTTTAAGGGTTTGTTTTACATATAAAGTTACCATGTTTCCAATGGTATGCTTTGTTGATCCAGATAATGTTATTAAGGTTGTTTTCCAAGGCCTCAAAGTTGCTACCTCAAAACTGGAAAACTGCCAGAAAATGACTAAGGCAGAAAACTGTTCTGTGAAGCCTACTTTGGAGCTCAATTCAAGGAGCATGGATGGGATTCAAGTCAAAAGGCTTCCACAACCTGAAACTAGGTATGTTTGTGAACAAAGGGAAGGAATTGGATGAAGAATTGGAATTCGGGAAGGCCTTCAACAAAAGGCGCGAAGTTAGTACGAAAGCTGCCTTTTGACTGTTTTCCGGGCAGCTTACTTGTGCTTGAAGAAAGAGAGTTTAAATCCGAATTTTGTGTCCTTTTTAGTGTAGAATTTTACCTTAATTGTTTCCTAGTTCTATTAGGTTTGTATTAGGTTTTATTGGCTATAAATAGCCTTCTATTTCATTGTAAAAAGGGAAGACTTTGTTGAATAGAAATCGAAACCGTTTGGTTTGTGCAAGTTGCGACTTGTTTTGGGTTTGGTGGATTCCAAACTTGCTGAGCTTGTGTATCGATTGAATAGTCACTTCAATCGTGGTCGAGCAACTACCCTTTTATACCAATCGAGCTATCCCCAGGTGTGGATTTGTCCTTTTGGTTCCGTTTTATCCCAAGTTCGTATTAAGAGCGCTTCGTTCTTGATTCGAGCTCAATCGATTCTTCGATTGAGTCGTTAGCTGTGTTACTTTGATAAACATACACCCCCAGGAGAGTATTAAAACGTCTCATCCACATCATCAAGAACGATGAGAATTTGGAACAGCGAAACTCTATCTTGTATCAACTTCCTCCCTTCGTCCACACTAATATACCAAATTCCTTTCTCATCATAACATGGGAGATTAGCTTCTTTTGCAAACTAATGGTACCATCGTCACCATCCTCTTGTACTTCCCGTATATTTCCAAGAAAACATTGATGTTCAAAATCATCCCCAAGTTTATGATAGATAGCTTTTGTGATAGTGGTCTTACCTATACCACCAAAACCATGCATGCCAACCATTACTATACCTTAAGAGTCTAGGCTCATTTTTTCTGTTACTGCCTTCACATGGTCATCAATCTGAACAAGTTCATTGACATCTAAAAGATTGTCATTTGTCCTTATATGCAACAATACAGAGTTGCAAACATGACCAATCGTAGGTCCAAGCCTATGCTCGGTGATAGGACACGAGTTTTTGTAAGGTTAACAATTTTGAATTTTGTATTGTAACGCAGACCATAAATTGATGACAGATACATATGAGTGACTTATTCATCGACTCTCTTGATGGGCCATTCGCTTATATGCCCGACCATTGCCAAAGACTTTCTTCACTTTTGTACAATGCGGTATTAAAGTTCTTCTCATGATGTTCAAATTCTTTTTGATAAGGACCGGTCTGGTGCTTCATGTCCGTAGGCTCCATTAAGTAGAAAATGGGAAGAATGATGTGCCTCTTGTCGCGCTCTCAACACCCGACAATTTTAGCAAGCTCATTAAGGCACCATTTACTCTCTCCGTACTTCTCGGATAATACCACAATATAGATTTTAGATTGCTCAATAGACTTACTGAGGCTGGGAGCTATCTCATCCCCCTAGAAGAGATCATTGTCATCAATGAATGTACGAATGTGTAGGCTTTTGAGGGAACGAAAAAGAATTTCGGTGAATTTATGGCGCATTATGGACCTCTAAAGCTAACAAATACATCGTAGTCCGCAATTGAAAGATCAGACATGTGTGATGATGGGCCATCTGGATATGGTGATGATGATGGGACATCAGGATTTTGTGGTGAGGTGTTATCATGACTAGAACCACTCTTTCTTCCATAACTTGAAGGTGATGCGAACAAGAGCTAGGCTCGCTTTCTTACATGCCCTTATGCCACATAAACAACACTGAGGCTTGTTGTCTTGTGTTTTAGATATTAATTTTAACTCTTCCCTACCAGTTTCTAATTCTTTTACTTGTAGATGACCTTAAATTTGGTAGCAATCGCATCAGTAACTCTATTGTGAGTAACCATGAGTAACCCAACTAGACTCCGCCACATCAACACTCCTCTTTTTACTGAAAAAGCCTTTAATTTTTAACGGATAATTTCTCTTGTTTTAAGTCATAATTTAATTTTTTCTTGCACAGATAAATCAGATTAATTGTGCTCTTCAAAATGATATCCACTTTGATATATTTTTTAAACAAAAAAAAATTGAGGAACTTTTTACCGGTTTATACCATGGTGGTATTGATTGGTATTAAAATAAGAGAATACCATATGGTATGAACAGCGTACCATGGTGGTATGAACATACCAAGACTGTAGGATGATGGAATACATGATAGTAGGAGTATACTGACTGTCATTTACGACTTTCAACATTGTGTACCGTAAGATACCACTCCCATACTAGGGTGGTATTGTGTGGTATTTTTTTGTCCTCTATTTTTTTCACCCAGAAATTTTTAGATCCAAGAAATCATTATTAACTCGTCCCTTCTGTGCAATGTTTTCCCAAAAAGACTTAAAAACGAAGGAGATACCATATGGTATGGAGTTGGTTACGAGATGTATGCAATTCTTTTATTCAAAAAATATTGAAAATGAATCTCATTTTGTAGAGCACAACAAATTCGTTTCATCTGCGCAAAAAAGTGAAATCCGAGTTAGAACGAATAAGATAAAAGTCGATTAAGAAAACTAGAAAAAATAAATAGCCTTTAATTTCTAGCACTTAGATATAAATTTTCTGAGGCCACTATAAAAAGAAGGTTCAGATTTAGTTATGCCCTAATTTGAGCCCTAATATTCAAACTTAAGGGATAGAATAATATCATCGTTAAGTTACAATTGGACCAATGTCCT